GGCAGCTCGTCGCGTGTCTTTAACGAAAGATGCGAAATGCGTCTCGGGATTTGTCAAGTATTCTTAAAATTTCGACGCTCCCGATCGGGAATCTACTTTGGCGCGATGTAAGGAAACAAGAACGGATCGAAAGAGCCGATAGTATGCGAGCGGGACACGTCAGGAAGGGAAGAAATCGAAAAAAGAGGGTGAAAACATTTTCGCTTAAAACTTTCAACGAAAAAGTTACTTCGATACAAATATAATGGAAATTGCGAACAACGCGTTCAACTTTGAGAAACTCGATGGGAGGGAAATGGAGTTTACCGCTTGCAAAATTTAAGGCGCGAAATTCTAGAAAAGATTGAAAACGTCAAAGGTACGGGCAACTTTTAACTTGATTAACGAAAACGTTTTAATCCGCGAAATTGAAAAGTATTATTTGTGTTCATAAAGGCGACGACGACATTGAACGAGCGGGAAAATGTTTATTTGGCTGCGTTCTAAATTGAACGATATAGGACCACGGTTTTGCTGACGGTGCAACAATTTTTCAGCTTCGTTTAATGAGCACAATTTGAGCCAAGAAAATTTATCGTTCGTTCGATATTTTTTGTAACGTACATCGGGAAAAGAGAACAAAGTTTCAAGGTAACCGCAGTAACCGTGTTCAGGGTACTCGACGACTGGTTTGGAAAAGTTCCAGGGAAAATTATCGCGATCCATTGCGAGGCATTCCTAGCAAATAGATATCCTTTGCACGAACCCTCGAAACTATAAAAGACCCGAATTTACGGCGTAAGTGTTTCGATAGGATCGTGCTAAATCATCGATCGTCGATTCGTATTCGCGAATAAGGGGGAAGAACAGGTATTTAGAAAGACTAGTCGAACGTAGTATAATTAATGACAAGAAGAGCCAACATCCGACGTCTACCGATATTAATAGCTCCAAGGAATAAGGGTATAAGTTTGTTAGTCGTGCGACAACTCGGAAGACTAATGACCAAACTTTTGTCTCGGTCCCGTTGATGTGCTAGACCGGTGTGTGTTGTCTCGACAAATAACGCTCGATTAACCGCGAGAGACGTTCGAATTGGTGTATATCTACCGTACACGGTTTGCGTTCGATATCGTTGCACGAAAAAAGTCACAAACAGTTGTGAAAACGCCGCACCACACCGCACCGCTGTGAAACTCTTTCTCCGTTAAAGTTTCGGTGTTCGTTTCAACGAACTGTATCCTATCAGATATATCCAGTCGAAAAATTATAACGGTTAACTGGAAAGAAAGTAAAAAAAAAAAAAAGAAGAAAAAAGGCGGAGGGAAACAGTCGAGTAGTCGGTCGTAATACTCGCAAACCTCTCACGACAATTATTGGGGTAAAGTCGTCAAATGGCTTTCCTTCGCTCGACCGATCTCGGCTCGTTCCGACTCCAGGGAGGAGAAAAATCATTTAGCCCGCTTCCTGAACACGACGGAGAGAGATAGAAAAAGATGGCGGCCCATTGGCAGAACGTAATTGGTGGCATCTGTGACCTACTGTTCCACGAAATTGATTCAAGTCTCGAGCCGGAGAATCGGGGCTAATGGGAACGGGTAACGAATCTCCGGCAGGAAAATCCCTAGGATTTTTCTCTTGCGCGGCAAAAGTGACGTTCGCATACTCTTTACGCTCGATTAACGATTTTTCGATTACAACGAATACGTTTCGATCGGATATCGATGGGAACCGACTGTCCTTACCCCTCTGATCGTGAGTAATTTTATCAATTTGTAATGTTAATCTCTCTCCTCCTGTTCCTGCTCCTTTTTCAATCGGTAAATGCTCTTCTTCGTCGTGATTATTCATCTGACAGAAAAGAAAGGATGCGAGTTCTTCGATATTACGATTCAATATTGCTAGAGAGTTATCAGATGCGTCGCGAACGTATAATAAGATGCAATAAATCTGATGCAAATCCCTTCCATTCATTCTTTTTCGGTCTAATTTGAACGCATTCTTCGATTATTCGTTTCCTCGCTGGCGAGGAGGAAGCGTTGAAATAGGAGGGTTGGAAGGATCGTGAAAGAAGCATTCGTGTCGGGCGACGATGGCGAAGAAGGTGGAAGGATGCCTAGCTCCCTATTAAATATGCCTCGGAAAATTAGATTTGAAATTCTTATTTTTCCGCGCGCTGCTTCCAGTTCTTCCGCTTCAACGTTCTCGAGTGCTCACCACTCTCCGTCTTCTTTGTTCCTTTTTCCCCGGCAAGCTCCACGTACCAGAGAAAAGATACGTTCAAGCCCGAGGCTAAATACCTGTGTCAGCATTGTTAAGGTAGCAGATATGGCTAACCTAATAGTCTTAAATTTTTACGTTATGTACCTACCGCTCGTGGAACTTTCGTTCCCATCTACCCCTGTCCTGCCAGGCTTTTTCTCTGTTTCATCTTTTCGCGTTCTTTCGCTTCGGGCCTCTGACGTTCGAAGTTTAACCGAAGCGTTAACCCGTCGTTGCGGATCGCGCCTGCTTTTCCTTACTTTTCTTTTCTCTCCACTCCTTTGGCTGTTAGAGGTCGAAAATCGACTAAACGGTACTTATCAACTTTGCACCCTTTTGCCCATTCTGCGCAGAGTCGCTAATGTTTTCGAAAGTTGAAGTTACAAAGTTGTCTCGTTACCATGTCGTAATTAGCGAACGTTAGTCGCCGTGCTCATATTCGGTTCAACTGCTCAAAGGACTCGTTAACGAGGGTCGTTTTATATTTCGATAGAACGTTATGCTCTTCGTCGGTTTCCCTTTTCTGAGATACGCTCCCGTCGTCGGAGGCTCCGTAATTCATTAGATAGTTGTGCAACATACACCGGCCGCATCGATAATCGAACTTAGTTAGCTGGTGTTTGAAACAATCGGATACGCTACCTTTTCTCAGCGGTGATCCGCCATTCAAGTAACATCCTGCCGTCGAATTTCCGTCGCAGTCGGCGACAAGAGGTTGAATAAGAAGAATAAATTATCTTGATAACTATCTCGTAGCCATTCGACGTTCGAACGCGATTAAACTTTGGGTGGGGCAAAGTTTCCGGTAATTTGCAGCTGCGGAAATTCCGCGTCCCCAATTATCGGAAGATCCTGCTTTCCGTTCCTCCTTCAGTTTTCTCGTTTTTCTCGTTTTTATCCGCTTGTGGAAACGGCCGGTAGAGAAGGCCAGGAGGAGAAAGGGAAGAAAGTCGGCTCGGCGAGACACCTTTAACGCGGAATGTCGCCTGAATTACGGCCCTCCTTATGGCTTGCCCGCGTGCACCGTTTCTAGACAAACGAGCAAGCAGAAGCCGCGAGCGCGAATTTCTTTGCGAATTCCGTCGGAATTCCGGTGCCAACCGGCACCACGGCCGGTTTTTCCTCTGCCGCCGCGTTCTCTCGTTGTTACTCTTGCCCGAGCTAGGTGAAAAGTAGCTGAGAGCGAAATTCTCCGTTTTGCCCTTCTATTTTTCTGGAATTTCGGTAGGTAAAATGAACACGGGCCAAGTCTTTCTCCCGCCTCGTTAATACCGCTTATTCGGCCAATTCTTTCTCTTTGCTTCCTCTTAATGAACTCGTCGTTTCCTCTTTCTTAGGCCGTTAAACGATAGTCACGCGTGCTCTTGATTAATTCCGCGCAAGGTGTTCGACGCGCTCGGGCGTCGTCTAACGAAGGAGAACTAATCGTTGTTCCCTCGGTTAGATACTCTCCGTCCTCCTCTTCCTTTCGCTTCTTGCTCCGTTGAAGCGAAAAGTCTGAAAAACGATTGGTTGTGTTCGCATGGAAAGACCGATAGCGTGGATCCGCGAAGCGGTGAACGAGTGCGGCGCGGCGGAAAGGAGGAGACGAGAAACGGCGAGGTTGGGCGCGGCCCGAAATCCATGGAAAACGGGGCAACGACCAGATATCGGATGCCGAAATGAAAACGGAACGCGAATGCATCGACGAGAAAGAGGCGCTGAAAAAAAGGGTAGCACGAACCACGAGAAAACGTATCGACAATACGTAAACCCGGCACGAAAATGATTTTGTGGGCCAACGATGAAACGTCCGCGTTCTGCTCGTTAAACGATTACTACCGACAGACTTTTTCTGTCTGGAAGAATGAAACGATGCACCGATGCACCGATGCAACGATGCAACGATGCGCGTAACTGATACAACAAAACCATCGACAATCGACTGGATGTCACGAGAAACTTTTACGTTGCCTCCTATCGAATAAAAAAAACTTTGCCAATTCGTACGACCTGTCGTACAACTTTGTTTCCTAATAGAATCATGAAAGCGCATCTAAATTACAGTTCAACTCGTTCATTTTCATTCGCTGAAGAATCTTAATCTAATATCGAGGTCACGGTTTTTATTAGCTAATTGTATTATTGTACCAACGTATTCCATAAATTTATTAAGAAGTTTTTCTTAATATTTTGCAAGAGAAAGAGAAGCAATTTTAATCAAGCTCGGTAAATATCGTGTAATATGATTTAAGAAACGAGTTGCCGAGTAAAGTTACACGATTTTCCGATTGGTCTTCGATGTTGCGCGCATTTTACGTCTTACCAGTCGGGTAGCAAAGTCGTTGCTTTTCTTTTCTACCCTTTCTTGTCTTTTTTCGCGGCGAAAGAACGACAAGAACGACGAAGGCTCGCGGAAAATTGGTTTCTCGGACCGAAAGCAAATCGAGAGAGGACGCGCGGAGCCGAGTTTTTACTCGAGTGGGCGAAGAAGAACTTTAGCAAGCCGTCTTTTCTGGGCGAACGTTCATCAACCCGAAGAGACGAGGAATGCTAGAAACGTAGCAGTCTTGTATTAGCTTTTACCTACTCTTCGCGTTTCATTTCCCTTCTTCGCGCTTCAGTAGGGAAAATCTATTTAACTTAACCGTTGCGCCACCTCTTTGGTTATTTTCATGAAAAACCAATCAAAGTTTTGCATTTGATAAAATTTTATCCGTCGACGGTTTTCACGTTCGTTCGACGAGTTCTCAATTTTCTCAATTTTCTCATTTTAACAGACCGCCGGACTGGTTTCACCGATTCCAGCTTACAGCCACTGCCACGAGTTCCAGCCGGACGTTATCGCAGCCACTCGAATCCACTTCACCACCTTCCTTCCGAGTATCCATCGCCTAAAAGTTCAGGTCAGTGTGAAACTTTGTAAATTTTAAGCGATTTCGAGTGTCGGATCCCTTTGAATTTTAATCCCCGTACTTTCAACGGTGCTCCGTACGCTACGCTAGAAAAAAAGTGCTTATCCCTTTGGGACGAGGCTGCGTTTAAAATCCAATCTCTGATCCTATTCACTTTTATCTTTTATCCCATCATTTTCTCCACGCGTGCCCATTATTGTTTCGTGCCGTTATTAAAATTAATTGTTGATCCAACTCGTTCACATTATTAGCGAAACACGAGCATAATTTTCAGCTCCGCGTCCGTTAATTTATACGTAACAGCGAACATTTTATCAACTATTTTACAGTTAAATGTTTAAATATTGAACGGTAGAAGCGAGTTCGGTCGATTCTCTCGATATACCCGGAGAGACATTGTGGGATTTTCACGTATCGTGAAAACAGGAAAACGAATACAGTTTTTTTCCAGTAGCGAGCTTTTCTTTGTAACCGTCTCTTTCCAAGTAGCTGGTCTGGAAAGAGGTTTTCGTGCATGGGGATTAACGAGAAGTACAAACTGAAATACGCGCACATACATTCGCGACACCGCATGCATATATGGAGGTAGTAACTAAACGAGCATCAACCTCGGTTATTGGTTCATTGATTTTTGCATCAGGCCGCAGCCTGGGTTCGTGAAATTGCAAATATCGATACTCGATGACGGCCTTCCGGGCAAACAAAGCCGATAATCCGTTCTTTCAGTCTTGTCTTCCTCTCTCTACCCTCTATACCTTTCTTCGTTCTTCTTGATTTTCACTCCACGTCTTTCCCTCTTCATTGTTTCTCAACGCAAGCTTGCCTATCCGAAAGATATCATTGTTCGCATTCTTATCGTTACTCGACAGAGAAGAATGCAAAACTTGCCCTACGTTCCCCTCTTTAGACAACTAGGACTATAAAAAATCTAAGATTCGCTCAAGATTAAAGTCCCAAGAAATTTCGCTTGGAAAAACACGCATCGAGTTCCATTCGAATTTAATTTAATTGAATCATGGCCTTTCTCCTCCGTTCTGCCATGATCGATTTCGTCCGTGTAACCGCGTTGCTTCGTTCGTTAAAAGCTAAGCGAGAAATGTTATACCTTCCTCTTTACATCGTGAGACCACTACCAGCGAATGCTAACAGGAGCTGAACTGCTACGAAATCGCTTGACCGCAGAAGCGCGGATGATTCGGTCTGACGGAGACTACGATTGGTTTCCGGGGCTCAGCGCCTCCGCCGGAAGTCACGCTAACTGTTACCAGCACGCCACACCGTCGTAATCCTCGGAACTTGGTTTAACGAATTAAGGCTCATCTCGTTTCGTGGTTAACGCGAACTATGATAGCCTACTTTGCTCCATTGATCAGCGAAAACGTTTTATTTTTATCTTCCTGGAAAGAAGAAATTTTTGTCATATTTCGATACCAAGGGATTTCTTCGTTCGCAACGATTTATGAAATCTTCACCAATCTCTTCCACCTGTCTGTCTATCTTTTTACTTTTCCCTTTTTCCCTTGAAAAGCTTCTGAGCTCTTGTTAGAGATGTGAAAGATTGGATGTGTCATCGTCGAAACGAGGGTCGACCTTTGAGTTGACGGGATTTTCGGTGGCAAACCACGACAAACAGGCCCCGATCCTTTCTGACCGCTAATCCATAGGTAGCGTTCCGACTTTCTTGGACGTGGTCCGCGTCTTGCAACGCCAGGCCATTCACCTCCGAACGAGCATGTCTGCGTGATCTATCCTTCTATAGATCGTCGCGATGTCCCATAAATCAGATGCCATTACACAAACGGGATTCATTTCGAACGAAACGTTCGCTCGGAAAATCAATTACCACCCGCGTTTTCGCTTCCGTCGAATGGAACGTTAGAAAAGAGAAGGGGAGGGATAAAAAAAGAAAGAAAAGCCGAGGAAACTGCGGGCGGATACGGTGCGAAAGATTCATCTGAAAATGGGAAAAGTAGCCAGCAAAGTTTTTACCAATGTATACGTTTTCCAATGTTACCGCGGCGTCCTCTATCCGTCTTGTCGTCGGATGGCAAGGTGGAAGGAGAAACTTTTGCAGCATCTCTGGCGCCGCCATGGCGAAAGCATTTCTTCTCTCCCTATCTTTCCTCCTCTTACGGCCGTTCACTTTCAGCTTAGTTAGCGAAACGCAATCTCCTTCGTTGTTCCAGTAATGAGACGAAACGATAAAGTGGCAGACTTTGAAAGTTTATCGGTGCTCGAAAGGTAACCGCTCGGCGTCCGTATATTTTTTGAGTATCCGAGACACGATGGAAAAAATACGGCTGCCCGAGAAAGCATTAAAAACGGCCATTGCGAAAACTGAAACGGATTTTCTTAAACGGCACGATTCTCCTAGGAAGGTAAACAGCGATAAATGAAAAGGATATCCTTTCGCTCGCGTCCACTCCTCGTTCGGTCTCACGAATCGGCCAAACGACGGCGGCCACCCTCGAGATTTTGATTAAACTCGCTTTCGAGACTTTTCTTATTTCGCCGTACGTCATTCTTTGTTCGTTAGATTTATTGGCGGTCGATTGCGATAGTATTCCTGCAAGAAAAGCCAGCGTTCAACTCGCTCGTCTGTTATCCGGCCGTCAGTTTACCATTAGGTACACACTCTCGTGCTCGGTGAAACGATTTGCTCTACAACCCGATATCAACTCGATAGCCAATTATCACTTTACCAGATATTTTTACTCGTCAGCAACTAAATTGGCTGGCTGCTTGGCAATTCAATTTAGAAAAGTGGTAACGCGAAGGAGGAAGATAAAAAAAGAAAGGAAAATAGACGGCTTCACGAAAACAGCATACCATTCCGGTTGACTACGATACAATAGAGAAGTGTACGTCGACTCGACGACGATAGGGTTATAGCTTGCGCAACGCTGCTAACAGCCTCTTGTTCCACATTCAGGATTACCGTCGCAAGCACACGAGCCTTTCTTGCTTGCCAGTTGCAGCAAACATCGCCGTTTCTCTGAATGTCTTAACAGGTGGCTTATCGCGGCGTACATCGATCAAACGGAATATACAACCAGCCGGGATAATAACTAGTTGCTTTAATCGTTACACGCAAAGAAAGAAACTGACAAAACACGCGAATTAATCGAATGTGAAAAAGACACGAGTCACAGTCTACGGCGATACGGGATGTTTTATAAGAGTAAGATGACGTTGACCAGTGAGAGCATAGATAGCAGCGGTCTCAGAACGGAGAATGGTTTGCAAAGTAGATGGAATAAGCAGACGCGAAGCAAGAGGAACGAGAAAGACTAGGACGTTTGTTCGCTGGAAAGGCTATGTGATAAATAATAAAGGTGAGATCCCTCGAGTCTCGGAATCTACCTACTGTGTAGACCAACTCGAAGTAAAGTTCCTAGCTTCCTCCGTTGTATCGTCGGCAAGACTTTAACTCCAGTCGTAGGTGGATATTCCGTGACGCTTTCCCTTTTTCCTTCACATTTCGCGTGGAAGAAGAAAGTTTTTGAGACTTTTTAATGAAATTACCACGTTGCAGCTCATAAATATTTCACGCCGACAGTACATTAGAACGGTTCGCTGTTTCTTCCTAGGAAGAATCGTTTTTAGTTGGAGCTCGTATTTAATTTTGCTGACGAGCGAGTTACGGTGTAGACGACACGACGGGATTAGGTCTAAGGAATCGAGCGATAATCCAGGCTGGACGAGCGTTCTACTCGGGACGCACGATAAAGCCGGTCCCGTCTTTAAGTGGAAACGTTCGTTCAACGTCAGACGGAGCACGTAGCAGAGCACCGGTGTCAAGCTCGAGCGTAAGAGGGTGAATAATCATTTTAGCCCGTAACGAGGAAGATCTACTCGTAGCCGAGGCTCGATCCACGTTTCTACACCTTTACCTTTCGGCCAACAAAGATCTCCTTGAATTTGTCTGGCTCGAAACGACACCTGTTTCTTCCTATTAATCAGTTACACTTATACAACGTCATGTTTTACTTCGCCTCGCTTCGCGTCGCGTTGGTAACAATTCTCTTTTGTTTTTAAACATCCACGACATTCGTCAGCGTCCCAGAGAAGTTTCTTCTCTCTCGTTGCTACGTGTCCGATTATCGCGGCCGGAAATCCAACTAAATCGCAGTCATTAGCCTCGTTACTCGTGATTTTATTCGAAACGAAGGACATAATTACTGCCGCGGTCGTAAATAATCCAGCTCGTTCAGATAGCGTTATTTCGTTACGAACAATTAGACGGTGAATAACGTTGTTTCCCATAGTCAGCTAATCCTTTCGGCTGGAATCTAATACCGTTTAGTTTAATCGTTCGGGAGGAACGGAAATCGGTACGCGAAAACCCGGCTAGTTTTCAGATCAAAGTACGTTCGATTTTGCGTGAATGAATCAACCTAGTTTCGATGGCACGGAAATGGTGGTCAATTTTCGATCGATTAATAATCACTGTTGAAAATTGACTCTGCGATTCGGCTTTCACCAAAAATCGTTGATCTCCGTGAACGAAGAGGACCCGTTTCGCTCGGACAAAACCTGTCGTTTGCGTAATTTCGAGTTTTGCGTTAGCGACTGTCGTTGGTTGAAAGGTCGATAAATGTAAATCCAACCAACCATTAGCTGTCGATAGTGCGGATATATACGTTCTGAAATAATCATAACGTTTCACAATTAGCGGCTTGGCCGACGTAACGAGAGGGAGGAAAAATCGGAGAGCAGGGATGATGTCTCGCATGGCGTGGCGGTACCGTGCGTGTATTTGCTCGAGTAACAGCCGCTCGTAAATCGCGTGGATATCGCATGGGCGCGAACACAACACGGGGAATCTTTAAATGCGGAAAGATTTGTCGAGCGACTGTTTAACCCATTTCGCGAGATTTAGCGAGATTAACTTTGCTTGGTGAAAATCGATTCAGGAGAGAAGGAATAGCCCGGGTCCCGATTTCCGCTCCCTGATTCGCTCATAAAATGAATTAACGATCGTGGAAATA